CTCTTCCTGACAGGGTGCCTGTGACCCTTGTCTCCGGGGTCTTTTTCCTGCCTGTTCCCACCTTTCTTCAAATCTGCCATTGGTTCTCTCAAGTTAGGTTTACTGGCTTTAAATCCCAATCCCCCAGTGGCTGTGACCTCAGGCAATTACCTAGCCTGAGTTTCCATAAAGTGGTCCCCACCCTGACAGGATTGTGGAGAAGGTTTAATATAATGATACTTACCTGGGATTCTTTAGAACCAGTTCTTGGTAGGGGAGTCCCAATATACAAACTCTGCCCTGGGCAAAGTGTCCACCTGACCTGAGTAATCAGCTGGGGCTTGGGGGAGCAGCGCTAAGGATGCCGCTCAGGGCTGGGGCAGCCTCAGATGGAGCAGATGGGCAACTCTGGGTAGGCTACCTAGAGGAGGGGGCACTGGAGAAGCTAGCCAACCAGTCACAGACAGAGAGGCAAGTGGGAAGTTGGGACCACAGGAAACCACTGCCGAGTCACTAAGTCCCAATTTAGGCTCTTAGTAGGCACCCAACCTCAGCTCCATATCACAGCTGAGAGGCTGGGGAAGAGGAACCCCCAGAAGTGGAAAGTTGAAATCTCCCAGTGGAGCAATTAGGGGGTGATTCAGGCAGGTGCATCACCAAGAGAGTGAAGCAGAGTGACCTGGAACAGAGGTTGTCAAGCTGTAGATGGGGCTGGCTTGTCTCCATGTTAAGGGGAAGAAGCAGCAAGGCCATAAGGAGCCACGTGGGCAGCTGGTGGCCAGAGTGCTGGCCGAAAAGGAACAATTACCCACTTAGGTGGCCACCTAAGTCCCCTTACCTTCTTACCCCTGAGAGGTTCCCAGACCCAGACCCAGCCAGGGCAGAGGCATGGTGGGGGGAGCTGAGGTTAGGCACCTGGTTTCTACCCTGGACTCTCTGAGGGGCCCATGGCAAGGGCCACAGGCACCCTGGCAGTCCTGGCCCCAGAAAAAGAATTCATAGCGCCCCACGGACAGGCTGGCCCTGCAGGGGCCTGGCCACTCCCATTTTGTCAGGCTGGGGTGTGGCCTACAGTCACTGCTGTAGTAGGGCCTACAGTCACTCGATTTAGCAGGGCCCAGACTAAGCCCAAGGTGGGCTTGAGGGGCTCTATCAGAACGAGCCCAGGGTGCTGGGAGCTGAGTGCTAGAGGAAGGCATTCCATATCCCCTGCTGTCCACCCCTCCGCCCCACGCCCTCTCTACAGAGGAACTGGCTCTGAATCAGCCCTGCTGAGACAGAACAGGGCTGCCGCTTCCCCTTTTTTTTTTTTTTTTTTTTTTTTTTGCCCCTGTGTTCCCGCTGCCCTTCCCCCAGTGTGCCTGCTCAGGCTGCTCACCTGGTCCTCAGCACCCCCAATGTGAGCCCGGTTCATGCAGCTCTCATTGTGCCCCGGTTCCGGGAGGGGACCGCCCGCCGCCTCCCCGAAGTGGAGAATGTGCCCCTGCAGGGGAGGCAAGGCTTGGCCTAAGGCCACTTCTGCAGACCCTTCGGGCCAGAGCCTTCTGGGACAACCCTCTGATCTGCAATTCCATTTTCTGGAATTCATCCTGGGGCCCAGTGTGAGGTGTTCCCAGAGTGGTTTGCTGGGACAGCACGGCCAAGGCAAAGTGTCCTCGTAGGGCGTGGGCAGCTAGCAAAGGGCCAGCCTTTCCGGGGACTTCAGGGCTGCCAAAAAGAGTGCGTTACGAGGCCCTGCCCCGGTCCCCGCCCACAGCAGCCCGACCGAGGGGACGCTGGAACTTCTCGTTTGTCCTTTGCACGAGCTTGTATAAACAGCGAAGTCGTAGCGAGCAGAGGCCGCCCAGGAGGCGCGCTCCGCAGCCGGGAGGGGCTGCCCACGGGTCCCGGCATCCCGCGCGCGAGGGGCGGGGCGCCGTGACGCCATCCGCGGGCGCCGCGCCGGAGCCGGAAGTGCGGAGGCAGCGTCGCGCGGCCACGTGCGGAGCGTCCGGCAGCGGGAGCCCGCCGAGCCTGGCGGGTGAGACTCGGTGCGGCGCCCCCCCTCGCCCCGTGCCGGCCCGGCCTGCCGCGTCCCCAACGTCTGCTGGGGGGCCCTTACCTCTTCTGCATCCCCCCCTTGCCGCCCGTCCGCCTGGAAGCCCGCTTTGGGGGAGACTGGGGTGAGGGGGGTTCCGTGGAATGAAGCCTGGCCTGCAGGTGATAGCACAGACCACTGACGGCTGCCCCGCTGGTGGCCGGTCCCTCCTCTCACACCTGGAGAATGGGAGCCGGTGTCCCGGAGAAGGGTGATGAGAGGGTCTGATCCTTAGTAGGAAATCGTGGGCTCGTCCTTTGCCATTGCCCCACTTGAGTTTCTCCATCTGTGATTTGGGCTGATGACTTCTAATTCATGACCTAGACCAAGAAGGGCTTAACACGTCAGTGCAGGGTGCAGCCTGTTGGTCGTCCTGTTGGACAGAGCCAGCGACGGAGCCAGCCTCCCCACCCTCACCGCTTGGGACCTGGGCCTCACAGCCCTCCACCCAGATCCCAGGTGCACCCTCTTGGCACCTTTGCATGCTCATGCCCACACACATTCTCCCAGGTCTCAGGCACCTGCCAGATAGCAACACCATGAGCTTCGTGGCGTATGAGGAGCTGATCAAAGAGGGTGACACGGCCATCCTGTCACTGGGCCATGGTGCGATGGTGGCAGTGCGTGTGCAGCGGGGGGCACAGACCCAGACCCGGCATGGCGTCCTGCGGCACTCAGTAGACCTCATCGGCCGCCCCTTCGGCTCCAAGGTGACCTGTGGTCGAGGTGGCTGGGTGTATGTGCTCCACCCCACGCCTGAGCTCTGGACACTGAACCTGCCACACCGCACCCAGATCCTCTACTCCACTGACATTGCTCTGCTCACTATGATGCTGGAGCTTCGGCCTGGCTCTGTGGTCTGTGAATCCGGTGAGTTCTTTGGGCTACCTCAATCCTGATTCTGAAAAATTGACTTGAAGATGAAAGTCTGACGCAGCATCCAGACAGCCTCCATCCTGCCCTTCCTGAAGACAGGCGTGGTTGCTCAGCTTCTATTTTACCAATGTTTTGGGGGGGCTGACTGCAGGGAGTGAGGGCAGAAGTGGGAGCACTAGTTAGGAGGCAGGTGCTGTAATCTAAATGAGAGTTGATGGCACTGGACCAGGGATTTCCCCCAGAGGAGCTGGTGTTCAGTGAGAGTCCGGCCTGCCTTGGCGAGGCAGGGCCACAGTGCCACTTGGCTCTGGCCTAGGTGCTGACTTCCAGTCGCCACCCCTGTGCTGACAGGAGGGCAGAGAGTGGCTGGCCCAGCAGTCCCCGACCACCCAGCCCCAGGGCTGAGAGTTTCCCCTTCCTGGAGGGAGACCAGGGCTGCTCTGAGGTACTCGTTGTAGGTGGGGAGTCTCTATCTCAAGCTCATCATTGGCCAGCACTGCTGTCACTGAGCCCAGGGCCTGAGGTCATTCTGGCCCTTACACACACACACATACACACGTGCTGGGGCCACCTGGGGTGGAGACTGAAGCATACAGCCTGGCCAGGAACAGCCCAGGCCCGATGCACCTATATTTCCAGCATGTGCCTCATGGGCTGTGCAGCTGGGCTCCAAGGTCACAAAGAGTTCCCAGAACCATTGCTTCCAGGTCTGAGGACTTGAGGCCATCTTGTCCCTCTCAGGCCTCTTTCTCCGTGTTGGCCAGCCAGATACTTTGAAACGGGAAGAGTCAGGTGCAGAACCTGGGCTGTGGGTCAGAGGGTTAGTGGGGTCTAGGCAGAGGCCTGCTGCTCAGCCACTGGGGACTTGGGGGGCCGGTGGCAGATGGGCAGCAGGCCCTCGAGCCAGCTCCATCCCCTACTGCTCTCTGTGCAGTGGGTGTGCTTCTGGGCTCTAATATGCCAGCTGTCCTCTAGGAACTACAGGTACAGCCGTGAACAAGACAGGCCAGGTTGCCCCTTCCCCGAGGGGACAGTAAGCCCAGTGTCACTGTTTCAGTGCTGTGATCGCTGTGAGGCTACTAAAACTGGACTGTGTGTTTGAGGGTGGCTCCAAGAGGTCCCTACACCTCGGTCGGTCCGGGAAGACCTCTGGCATGGGGACATTCAGTTGGAAACGAGAAGGAGGAGGCGCTACGAAGAGCCAAGGAAGCGAGAGTGTCACCCCAAGGGTGAGCTGTGCAGAGGCCCTGAGTGAGGACCCAGCAAGGAGGCCAGCGTGGCAGGGGCAGGAAATGAGGTCGGGAGGAAACGGGCACAGCTCGGAGGGTGGTCGGGTCTGACTGTGCCCTTGTGGAGAGGCGAGAGCAGGGCCTCACCGAGGGGAACAGAATTGCCTGTCTGGTGGTGGTTACAGAGCCAGGAGGAGGGCCCAGGCTGCACGGGGGCAGGGTGGAGGTGGGGAGGCAGGAGCTACCTGTGGACCGAATGTGGGGTGGGAGAGGGGAGTCTGGGGCACCCCTGCGATGTCTGGTCGATCTGTGGGTGTCGTTGACTGGGCAGGAAGGGCCGATGGGAGGGGTTCGGGCTTGGAGCGGATCCAGCTTTGTCCTCGTTAACGCCGAGCGCTGTCGGGTGTTGGGAGGTTGTGCGTGTGTGCTGGACAATAGGAGTGTGCAGCGAAGGGACCTGGCATTGGGGAGCGTGCATCAAGACTGGCACCCGAAACCGCAGGGCGGGGGAGGTCATGGGGGGACGCAGCCCCAGCTGGGCACAGCCAGGTGAGAAGTCAGGCGGAGGGGCAGCACTGACGGGAGCCGGGGAGTGGCCAGGGCAGGTGGAAGAGAACTGGCGGACTGCGACGTGGGGGAAGAGTGGGGCCCTGTGGCAAGTCGGCTGCCGTGTCTTGGTGCCGTGAGACCAGGCGAAGCGAGGGCAGAGGCACACCACACTCCTGCTGCACGTGGCCCGGAGGTGGGCAGACCTCTGAGTGGGCAGCGAGCTTGGGGGACTCGGGGCCAGCCACCGGGTGGGGGGTGGGGGGTAGGGCGTGTGGGGCGGGGACGGGGTTTGCTCCGGTGCTGGGATCAGGCAGGGCGGCCGCTCTGCCGCCCGGACCCACTGCAGACCCCGGAAACAAACCCAGCCGGTCGCGTCCCCACCCAGCCCCAGTGCAGACTCGGTGACAAAACCGTGGGCAGCCCGGACCTGCTGGGCAGTTCCGGAGTGGTGCCCACTAGCGACCAGGATCGTCTGACCCATGGGCCCCGTGTGGGTTTTTCCAGAGTAAGGGTGGGGTTGATTCTTAAGTGTCCCCGGCAGTCCTGCCTGACACCCGTCCCTTCCTGCCAGGCACTGGCAGCGGCTCCGTGTCCCACGCGCTCATCCGCACCATCGCGCCCACGGGCCACCTGCACTCGGTGGAGTTTCACCAGCAGCGGGCAGAGAAGGCCCGGGAGGAGTTCCAGGAGCACCGAGTGGGCCGCTGGGTGACGGTGCGCAACCAGGACGTATGCCGCAGCGGCTTTGGTGTGAGCCACGTGGCTGATGCTGTTTTCCTGGACATCCCGTCTCCTTGGGAGGCTGTGGGCCACGCCTGGGACGCCCTCAAGGTTGAAGGTACGTTGAGGGTTCTGGTGTGGGCCTGGCCTTGGGTGTGGGTCGTCTGAAGCCCAGAGAGGTCAGAAGCCAACAGGCCACATAGTGTGGCCAGGCCAGGGCCCCTTTTGACCTGAAGTCGGGGTGGGTCAGGCTGGCTGAAGGCTCGTGGGGAGGTGGAGAGGAATAGGAACTGGGGAGAACGGGGCTCCAGCTGAGCCTGTGTTCTTTGGCCTTGCCCCGCTCCCCCCCACCCCCCACCCCCTGGAGCTGGGAGGCATCTGAGTTCCCTGGGGACTGTGGCAGCCCCACCTTAGAGGTGCCACCTCTAAGGCACCTCAGGGCACTCCAGACTCTGACCCCAGCTCTTGCCCGAAGAATCTCCCCTCCCCCCACCAGCCACAAGCCAGCAGAGTAGCCCCTTTTAGGGAAGATACGAGATGTGGAGGCGGCGGGAAGGAGGCGGGAACATTGGCTCTGAGCCAGGGAGGCGCTGGTGAGGCCCTGGGTTTTTCCCTTTTGTGGAGAAGGAGCCAGCCCAGGCAGCCAGGGCCCCTTCCCTCCTCCCTGCGGAGCAGAGCAGGACAGAGGGTGGGGAGGAGGGTGGAGAGCCAGCCCAGGCACCCCCAGGGGGAGGGCTGCCCCCCCCCCCAAAGACAGGTGCCAAGGCGTGCCTCAAACAGCAAGGCAGCAGCAGTGGGTCCCACTGGGTCCCCTGCCGTGTCCCTGCTCTCTGCCAAGGTGGCCTGGGGCTCGGGAGGAGCTGAGCCCAGCTTCCCGCCCCTCCACCCCTTCTAGCTTTGCCCCCAGATGATGCCAGGTCCACGTGGTCACCCTCCCGAGCCTTCCTCCTGTCGTTGGGGCTCCCTCCTGGTGCTTGGCTGGGGGGAGCTGCACCATCCGTGGACCCCACCCCCTGTACCCCTCCAAGCCCCTCCCTTGGGTTCTCTCTGTGTCTCTTGCTCATGGGCCTTGTATTTTCCGATACCTGCCTGCTCTGTGAGCCCGACCCCAGCGAAGTGCAGTCCCCAGGCTCCCTGGGACTCGGGCTGGCCAGAAGGCTCTAGCCCTCGTCCAGAGGGTCCTGTCTCTGGTCCTGTCTCTGTCCCTGTCTCTGAGCAGTACGCTCAGGGGCCAGGTGCCTTCTTGGGGATGACACTGTGCCCTCTAGGTTGCCATCAAACTGCTCGTGCGTCCTCCAAACTCACCCCTTCCCGAAGATCTATCTGGCGGTCCCTGGGTGTGTCCCCAGGTGTGGCTGAGGTGACCAGGCCTCAGGGACATTCCAGGACTTGCCCGGCCACATCCCTTCCCCCACCTCGCATTCCCCACACCCTCCTTGCTAGGATGGGGATGTGGGCTGGACGCTGGCCAGGCCGAGGGACACTGCAGGTGGGCCCTGGTGGGAGGTGGCAGGAAGGGGCTGTCAGCTCCCGCCTGCACCCTGTCATCCTTGGCCGTCGGCGCCTCCTGTTCCCCAGAGCGGGTGACAGCCTCTAATTTCCTGTGACAGCAACAGCCTCCGCCCGCCGGTGAGCCCCGTCCCCCACTGCCACCGTGCCGTGTGGTGAGTGCTTCTGGGCACGTGCTCCTGCAGCTGGGACAGGGCTCTGCCCTGACCCCTGACCCCTGAGCCCGTTGTTCCTCCTGGCCCCGACCCTCGGGTTTCCCCGTAGAAGCGCCTGCCAGAGGCCAAAGAGATAAGGGCCGTGGGCTTGGTCTAAGTGGCCCCTTCCACGCAGCTCCCGGAGAGCCCCTGCCCTGCCGGCCTCTGCCTCTCCTCCACCCTGCTGCCAGGCTCTGCGTGGTGGGGGACTCGGCCGGCCCCGGGCCCCGGGCTCTGCACCCACACGCCCGGCCCGCAGTCCGCAGCCCTCAGGCTGCTGGCTCCTGAGCCCCCCGCCCTACTGCCCGCCCGGCTCCCCTGACTGCGCGTCTGGCTCCCCCGCAGGTGGGCGCTTCTGCTCCTTCTCGCCGTGCATCGAGCAGGTGCAGCGCACGTGCCAGGCGCTGGCGGCCCGCGGCTTCTCAGAGCTGAGCACCTTGGAGGTGCTGCCCCGGGTGTACAGCGTGCGCACCGTCAGCCTGCCCGCGCCCGACCTGGGGGCCGGTCCGGGCCCCGACGCCGGCCCCGACGCCAGCCCCTTCCGCAGTGGCACACCCATGAAGGAGGCCGTGGGCCACACCGGCTACCTGACCTTTGCCACCAAGACCCCCGGCTAGCTAGCGGGCCTCCCCGGAGCCCAGGCAGGGAGGTGTGGCTCAGCCAGAGGCCGCCTTATACGGGCAGCGGGCTACCGCCGCCGGGCCGGGCATGTTTAGAGGGCCGGGGGGGGGGGCGGGCGCCCGAGGGGGGGGCGGGCAGGGCGGGGGGGGCCCCAGGGGGCGGCTCCAGGAAGGCCTCCTGCCCCAGTCACTGCTGGGCTCTGCTTCCCCGAGCTGCTGCTGTTCTTTTTGCCACAGAAAATCTCCACCGTCGCAAGCTCTTCTGGGTGTTGAGGCCAAGGGGTGCCCCTTCCCAGGTGGCCCCAAGCTGGCAGGGAAGGGGGAGCAAGGACTCCGAGGAGAGGACCAGGGGCTTGCTGCCCCACTCGGTGTGCGGCCTGGCTCGTCCTCTCCCCGGGGGAAGGCCTGGCGCTGCCCTGGGCACACCCCCCCCCCCACCAGAGCTGCCCGTGCCAGGCCGGCCCGGAGGCCAGGGAGAGGTGGTCTTGCCGTGTGGCCTCGAGCCTGGCCCAGCCTGCCTGGCTCTATACAGGCCGAGCGGCAGTGTCCTGCGGCCCCTCCTGTTGGAGAGACGGGGGAGGGGAGCCCTGCCCCCCTGCCGAAGTGCCTCCTGTGGCCGCGGTCCCGCCAGAGCCCCTGGCGTGTCAAGAAGCGAGACCGCGGCATCACTTAGCTGGGAGCCTGAGGAGGGCGGAGAAGTGCTTCAAGCGATCTGGCTGGCGGTCCTTCTCAGCTGTTTGAACCCCAGCTGTCCAACCCCGGAGCTACTTGGGTGCCCCACCCTCACGGGAGCCCTGGGGACACGGGGGCGCATCCAGGGGGGAGGGCACCCCTCCAGGGCAGGCCTGCCCCGCTCTCTGGCATCCGTGCCTGCCACTGCTGCGTGAAGGGCCCGAGTGTCTGCCCTCGGCCTCAGCTGTCATCAGGAGCCTCAGTTTTCCCTTGTTGGGCGAGAGCCCCAGGGTGCTGTGCTGGCAGGGGCAGGGGGCCGGCCCCTGACCATGCCTGGCGGAGAAATAAACACCGTTGCCCCTGCCGTGCACCTGGTCTGTTTGGTGCCGCTCGAGTCAGACCCTCATTCCCGACACCAGCCTCTGGGCTGGGCCTCCCCACACACAGCCCTGGGTCTGCTCCTTCCTCTCCCTGTCCCAGGGCGGGGCGTCTGGACAGGGGCTCTGGACTCCAGGACAACAGCCTGGGACATGATGGACAAAGGGGCGAGTGTGTGGCCACCCCCACTCAGCTGCAGAAAGGGCCACTTGTCCTAGTGGGGGAGGGGGGAGAGGGTCTGCCTGTGTGTGTGTGTGTGTGTGTGTGTGTGTGTGTGTGTCCCCGTGTCCATCCGTCTGTCCTTCCGTCCTTCCGTCCCAGAGCACTGGACCCTCCATTCACAGCGCGGTCTGTCTCTTAGGCTTTCTGAAGGGTCTAGAGCTCAAGAAAGACCCTCCAGGCCTGAGTCCGTGGGAAGATGCCTAAGAGGTGGGCCTACTGGGGGGCTGGTCTCCTGGGGGAAGCGTCACAGGGCGGGGCTCCCTCTTCCTCCCAACCTCCTGGCAGGACCTGAGCCCCACCAGATTTCCTTGGGGCCCTGGGACCACTGTCCCAGCCTTCTCCTGCCTCCCGGGACCCGGCCTGACCTCTGAGCGGATGCTTAGCTTCGGGGACAGAGGAGGACCTGTGCCTTCCCCTGGCCTTTGAGAGAGAGGCCTGCAGGAGGTCTGGCACAGGGCACGGCCCGCCTCGGCGAGCTCCACTTCCCAGATGGGGCTGAGGATGGCGATCTAGACCACGGCCCTGGTTTGTCACTGGGCCTGGGGTTGCCAGAGGACTGGGGTCAGGAGACCTGCACCCCTCCCCACGGGCACACCAGGCACAGGGCAGCTCTCCAGTCTGGGTGGCCCTCTGGCCCCTCATCTGTGCCACCAAGCCCCGTGTGAGCCACTGTGACCCCACCGGGCCTCCAGGCATCAGCCTTGCCCCAGGTAGCCCTCTGGGCCCAATTCAGCCTCAGTCTGGAGCCCCGTGTGGTCCTGAGCCCCCGGTGAACTCCTCTGCACCCTTAAAGACCGCACTCAAAATGTGTCTCAGTGCCGCCCAGCCCCAGCCTCAGGCAGGAGCATCCTGGGGAACCATTCTCTGCTCCCATGTCTCCTGGCAAAGGAGCCAAAGCCAAGTGGTGTCCCAGTTCTGCAGAAGGGGAGCCCAGTGTCCAGAGGCAGGGCCAGGGCCCGTGATGAGTGGCCGGTCAGCAGGTTGGTGACAGCCACCTCTGTGAGTCAGCAGCACGGGGCTGGTCACAGGGCAAGGATTCACGGGGACGTCCCCTGCCCAGCCCCAGACACTCACTCTGACCCTCAGTTTTTCCTGGAAATTCCTATACCCGCCCTGCCGCCACCCAAGATGTGAAGATGTCACACGTCTGACTGCCTCCCCTGCTGCCCCCCTCGGGCATCCGAGCCCTCCCAACACCTAGAGACCCTGGCTTACTTGCTCCGAGGGTCGCAGTCCGAGATCACACCCTTCCCCCAGGAAGCCCCCTGGGCCTTGCCCTCTTCAGCCCTGGTGTGTTTTGCCCCTGCCCTCGCTATGCTTCACCCTCGCCTGCCTCTGAGGGGCTCACCCCCTCCACCAGAAGCCCCTGGGCTGGGGTGGGTTGGGGGCCCAGGGTGGGATTTTGGATGGGCAGCAGGTGGCATAATGGATGCCAGGCTGCTGGGGGCCACACCCTGTCTAGCAAAGTGATGAGGGAGGGTCGTTTGCTCCATGAGGATAGGACAGCAGGTGCACTGCCCCACACCTGCCCCCCTCACACCACCTCCCCCACCCCACCCCAGCCTTGTCTGCCTGCGTTACCTGGTCTGTCTTCCAGGGACACAGGCCCCCCTCTTCTCCAACCTGTTGCTGAAGGCAGGCAGACAGGCTGTGTGGGACCCCAGGCCGGAGAGATGATGCTGTTCCTACCCGGCTCTAGCTCACTGCCTAGGCGGAGAAGCTGAGGCCCAGAGGAAATGAGACTCTGCATGCTGACCGGGGACTCCTAGACACTCTCCTGCCCTGTGTGGTCCCTTGGATTGTAACCACAGAGGCCAAAGGGGAGAGCAGTTTCCACTGGAATCCTGGAAGGCTCCTCAGAAGAGGGGACCGCTGTGCGAGGTGTGGAAGGGCTGGTGGAAACTGGAGGAGGGTGAGCCAGGGTCCTTCCAGGTGGGAGTGTACAGGCCTCAGACAGGAATCCCACGGGCAGGCCTGGGAGAGGGCAGCTTGATGAGTTGTAGAGGGCAGTGTCCCCACCTCTGAGACTGGTAGCCGTCTGCCCTGTTTGCAAGGCTGCTGTGTGCACAGGCTGGCCGCCCAGACAGTGCCCCACTCGACCCAGAAGCTGTTGGGCTCACAGGCCAGGCTGGGGGTGTCCCTGCCTCCTGGTGGGGCCTCAGGTGGGAGGGTCCCCAGGGGCTTCCCTGCTGGGGGTCTTGGCTCCTGATGCCCCAGGAGGGATGTGCAGGTGGAGGCTAATGTTGCCCAGTCCTCAGAACTCTGCCCTCTTGGCCAGCCTCGCGGGTGTGTCCGCCAGTGCGGCAAGTGCAGACCAAGCCCCTGCTACGGGTCACGCCCTCCCGGCGCCGGGAACCAGACGTTCGGGCAGCCCTGCCTGCCCCTGCGGGGCTCCCGAGAACCAGGCACCAACGGTGCAGGCGAGAGCCACAAAGTGGCAGCAAAGCAAGGGAAGGGGGTTCAACCCGTGGTGTGTAGGGGGGACGGAGGGTTGGGACCATCAGGAAGGCCTTGCCAGGAGGTGGCCCCCTGCAGTCGCCGACGGACAAGGATATTTGGACTTGATTCTTAGGGAGGCCAGACTCCACTGGGCTCTGCACTGGGGGGGCTCGGGCTCTGGGCCCACCTGCTTCACATCCTCCCTCTGGGCGCCGTGGTGACGGTCCCTTCCCTCCTGGCAGAGAGGAGGACACACACAGTGCCTGCCTGGGGGTGGGAGTGGGGAGGAGCCGCCATGGGATTGAAATATCCAGTTGGCGTTTGCCCAGTTGGTGCTCGTACAACGTTTTGGATTGTTGTAAATTAGAGGGGTGTTTGTGAAATAATCTCTACGCCCATTGTGGGGCTCAAACTCCTGACCCCAAGATCGAGAGTCGCACGCTCTTCTGGCTGAGCCCTCCGGGCACCCAGAACATCTGTGATTGTCATCGCTGGTGAGAGCCACTGCTGCCACCGCCTCCGGGAAGCCGTCAGTCTCCGTCTCAGAATGTTCTTTGGTGTTTGAGGTCCTCGAATAGCTTTTTGCTTCAGGGGCACTTGGCTAGTCAGTCTCTCAGGATAATGGGAGAGAAGATTTGACCCTGAGACTTCTCTGGAAAACCCAGCTCATCCGCCCGCTGTGCTCACGGTTGTGTAATAAAACTGAGAACCGCAGGAACATCAGGCCAGCGGGGTGGGGGTGGGGGGAAGGAGCATTTGGGTGAGGTACGTGCATGGTCAATCAGCTGTCACGCAGGCGTGCTACATAACAAATACCTATCCCCGCACGGCCGCAGAGGCTGCCAGCAGCGGTCCCTTTCGCCCTCAGATCTGCGGTGTGGCTGCTCTTGGCCGACCTCAGCCAGGCCTGTTCACGTGCGGGGCCAGGTGATGTCAACTCAGCCCGGCCCCCCGCTTGCTTCTCTGCTCCCTCTGGGGCTGCGGCCTGGCCTGCGTGCAGGGAGGGGGGCGGGCGGGCCCTTTCCGAGCCCTGCATCACACGGCCTGCCCTCAGGTCGGGCGGACAGGGGGGCCCTGCGGTTCGGGCGGCGGGACTGCGTGGCAGGGGCGGGGTGGGGGGCAGGGCAGGGCGTGGGACCGCGGGTCTCTGCCGGCCTCGCCTGCCCTCCCCGCCTCGCCCCTCGGAGGGAGGAGGGCATTTCAAAGTCAGGCTTCCTCGGGAGCCGCGTCGGCGTCGGCGGGAGGGAATAGCTCGGCTCCCACCAGGCTGAGAATAGCTCAGAATTGGGTCACGCTCACCGAGAGCTCCGGTCGCAGCCTCCAGCCTTTGACAGTAATCAGCTTTCTCCCTGACATCTGTCCCTTCAAAGGGGGTCGGCCGGGTGTGGGCACATTTTTAGAAGAAGCAGAGGGGCCAGGAGGGGAGGAGGGTTCGGTAACGAGTTGGCCCTACATCCCTCCACCCTCCCCGCCCCCCCCCCCGCCCCCACCCCCCGCCAGACGGGCCACCTCCACCCCTCCCCCGACCTGCGCCGTCCCCACCTCTCAGCCGCCAGCCACCAGCCATGCCCTCCTGCCTGCGCGCTGGCCGCCCTTGCCCTTTACCTCCCGAGTCTCCCTCTTTCTCTCTCTGGGGCCCTCTTTCCTCCCGTGGAGGATAGAGGCAGCAGTGGGGGGATCCTGGGGCTCGTGTCTCTCCAAGCCCTCAGGCCTCTCTTCAGCAGCCCCTTACCCCCCAACTTGAGCCCACAATAGTACGCAGCCCTTTTGCCCCTAATGTCCTCAAGTCCTCCCCACGTGCCCACAAATGCTCTGTTCGTGCGCCAGTCACCAAGCACTTGGCACAGGGGGACCCTCTGAGTCTCAGCCCTCAAGTCCCTCCCAGCCTGTCCCCACAGCCAAGCGTGGACCCTAGGCCTGGCATCCCAGTGAGAGACAGAAATCACTGAGTCCTGGGACAGGAGGTGGACGGGGTTGTCTGAACTCCAGACATTTAGGGAGATGCTTGAGTGGCCTTTACTTTGCCAGGACCCAAAGGTCGGCACCCCCTCCTGACTTCCTGTCTCTGTAGCAAAATCAGGATGTGTCCGCCCAGAATGAGTTCTGCCAAGCTGCCCTCCCCCAGAAGGCAGAAGTGACCTTCCACGGCCAGGCCTCAGTCCTCTCTGCTGGCCAGGCCGTCTTTCCAAACCCACAAGGCAGTTCCCGTGGCAAAACATTCCTGAGTTTGGGCCGCGGGTGTGTCCAGGAAATCTCCCCGGAGCTGAGGCCGGCCCTTGGACCAGCCGAATCAGCATCGCCTGGGGGCTCCGTGGAAATGCTCTTCCCT